TTGGGTACATAAGATACCATGTTAACATCATAAGTGAATCCAAAGAAAGAGAAATTAACTGGCCTTTGTAGAGGTAGTAATTCTGGTGGAATTTAATAGGATAAGAGAAGGGTGATTTAGCAGTTTTGTTTTCGTTCTTGTCACAGTATATTTCTGCGTTATATATCTGTAATCTGTATTGGACTCCGACAAAATTTGTATTTTTAAGCCATCTTATGCTGGATTATTTGGAATGTACATTCTGAAGCCACATCGTCCCTTGAATGGAACTAACATTTCATCAATAGCCAAAAAATATCCAGGTGTGTAGTTGTTATTACAATTTTGTACGAATTGTTGAAATATGTTAAATATTGAGCCAATTTACTGTCTCTTCTTCTCTCAGTTCTTGTCGTAGCATCATCAATTCAAAGACATGGCATTTAAAAGGAAAATCTTGCTAGAGTCATTGTACATCGAAATAGATATTGGCCTTTTCTATCAGTTGCCAACATTGAACCTAAAAAATACTGAGACAGACTATTCCAGCCAAATTAAAAAAAAAAGTATGTCGTGAATTTCAAATGGACTCAATACCCAATTTTTCCAACTAAGGTTTCCCATATTTCCCTGCCAGTGAAAACTATGTAGTTATGTATTTTTCGACGAGCTACCCCAGATTAAAAAAAGAGACTTCTAGCTGGAATGGAAGCCGATATAATATAAATTTTTTCTACGTGTTTCAATTTGAGTTATCCCCTCCACTTTCCTATGCCGATCTTTCGAAAGTACCTTCGTTTCGAAGGGCTGTAAGTTTCTAAAACTTGGATGAATTTTATATCTATAAGTTTCAATATAAAGTATAGATTTTTATTCAAAATTTGTGCAATTTTTACTTCTTAATGTTTATGAACAATGGAGGTATGAATTTTTTAAAAAAAGTTTCCAACTACGTTTCTATTGGTCATAAAAGGTTTTTTTTTTAATGTGAGTTCTTTTACCAGCTATACAATGGTTGTACAAGTCTGTAGCTTAAAAAATATAAAAGTTATTATAATTGTTTCTAAGTAAAAAAATACTGCTTTTTCAAACATTTATTTTGTTAATAATTTCGATGAAAACACAATATGCATTTAACTTGATTTAACTGGATAATTCTTGCATAATCAGACTGGGCTATCTCGTTTATATCTGATTTCAAAGATTATTGTTGAAGATATAGAAGATTTCTTGTAGCACTACATACTTCCTCTTGTTAGAGTGATATTCAATTTTTTTCTTGTCTACTCGGCTTAATAATTATTCATTTATCAAAAACATTGAACAAATAAATTGAAGGCAGTGTTGGAAAAAAATTACTACAAAAATATTTTAATATACATTTTTAATCGGTTTGTTTAGTACATAAAGTAGTTTTAGAACAATGACCACAATTTAGACAATAAAACAGCTACAAATATACTGATGCTGATGGTACTTGTCGAACTTCCTAAAAAATAATACAATTTTAAAACTAGTAAAATAATAATTATATAATTACCATTTAAATGAAAACAAGCCAAAATTAAAGGTTTAAGAAGTTTATTGACGTTTTAATTTCCACTTTGGAAATCGTTTTCAAAATACAAACAGTAAATTTTACAAAAAAAAAAAACAATTTTAAACACGATTTTAAAATGATATTGTTAATATTGTTGAGGTGCGTTCCTGGGATGACTTTCTTGTAAGATAGTTCATTCGATTACATGAAATCAACTTTAACTTGGGAATATCGGTCAGAAAAAAATCATAGCATATAATTCTTTAAAAAGAGAAACATATGCCATGATGGCAGTAAAAATCTCCTGTTAGTTATTCCATGGTAAATTATGAGGGAAAACTTAGGAAATATCCTCATATTATTATCCTGACATGGTAAGTATTTGGTCGTGCATTTAGTTTACTTTCAATAAACACCAAATTTTGATTTTGTGTTTGTTATTTAAAAAACATAAATGATGTATCCTCTATATGTTACTGTCTTAGTAATACTGGTATTTTCCTTTTAATAACTTCCTCTTTTAATATTGGTACCCAGATCACACTACGTTCTGCTGAAGTATTTGCGACACAATTGGTCTCATTTAGCATAATTAGAGCCGCTTCTTTGATTTTTCTGTTTTTACCATCCGTTTCTTTCCCGACTATATTTGAATCATTCCATTGAACCCTATGTTCATTATCCCATGCGTGTTTACATATTTGAGATCTATCAAACTCTCTGTTTTAAATATAAGATTGATGTTCACTTATTCTTACATTTAATGGCCTTGATGTTTCACCTAAATGAAAGTGATCACATTCACAAGGTATTTTATAAATGCAATTCTTTGTCCTTTCTTGTTTATTGTTAGGTTTGGTTTTAGACAAAAAAGATCGCAATGTGTTTGTTGTTTTGAATGTTGTTGAAATGTTAAATTTATTTCCTATCCTTCTAAGTTTTTCTGATAATCCGTTTATGTATGTTATTGTCATTTTTCTCGTATTATTATTAATTTAATAAAGTCAACATTTTAACAACATTCAAAACAATAAACACATTGAGATCTATTTTGTCTACAAACCAAACCTAAAATTGAACAAGAAAGGGCAAAGAATTGCATTTATAAAATACCTTGTGAATGGACTATTTTATTTTGGTGAAACATCAAGGCCATTAAATGTTAGAATAACTGAACATCAATCGTATATTAAAAATAGAAAATTTGATAGATCTCAAATATGTAAACACGCATGGCATAATGAAGAAAAATACCAGTATTAGTAAGTCAGCAGATACATCATTTATATTTTTTAAATAACAAACATATAAAATCAGAATTTCGTGTTTACTGAAAGTAAACTAAATGCAAGACCAAATACTTACCATGAGATAGTATTATGAGATTTTTTCCTGGTGTTTCCCTCATAATTTATTATGGAATCACTAACAGGAAATTTTTACTAAAAATTAATGGGAAAATCCCAGTAGTCGGTTGTCGACCATCGTTTAAAAAAACATACACTTCACAATTTTATTTTGGTATAAAAACATATAGTTAAGACTTTTTTTTAAATGTCGTCAAAATTTATGTAGTAGCATCGTTTTCGATCCAATCAGATCATGCTCAGTGCCTTAGGTAGTTGAAGCTAACAATAAAGTTGTGGCTGTGACATCCGTATATGGGTTTACATCATTCCAAATTTAAAGTGACCCAAGGTCTGTGTCGTTTTAACTGACATCTACTGCGTGTTAAAATTCGGGCAGGGAGACATGTAGTCCCTAAAGTAATAAATTTTATCCAATGTCATCGACCTAGAGTCACAACATAATTTAAATTTGGAATGATTTAAACCCATATATGGATGTCACAGCTACAACTTTATTGTTAGCTTCAACTACATAAGGCACTGAGGATGATCTGATTGGATCGAAAACGTTATGCTACTACATAAATTTTGACGACACTTTTTAAAAAGTTTTAACTATATGTTTTTATACCAAAATACAATTGTGAAATGTTTTAACTTCTCTATGAGATTTTTACTGTCATCATGGCATTTATTTGTGTTTTTAAAGACGAATTATATGCTATTTTTTGCTGATCGATATTCTCAAGTTAAAGTTGATTTTATGTAATCAAACAAACTATCTTACAAGTAAAGTCGTCCCAGAAACGTAACTCAACAATATTGGCCTCCTTTGGTACATTTCTCTTGTAGTCGTTCCAAACTGATTCGATGTTGAATTTTTCCTGTGATTTCCTGTAGAAAATGTTTTGGTGTTATTTTCATTTTTATTTTTGCTAGCACTAGTTTGTGTTTACTCCCTGCGTCTGCCGAGTTAAAAGTTCAGATCTAGAATCTGCTTTGGGTGGATTTTTCTATTACTGTCTATAAAATTAATCATAGATTTGTGCTCCCTAACGTTTTAAAATGTATATTTATACTGCAGCTTCTATCTATCTATTTATCTATCTAATTAGCTTTAAACGCCCACTCTTGGGCATAGGCCTCCCCTGTTAATCTCCATTGATCTCTATTTTGGGCGATCTGCATCCAGTCCTTTCCTGCCGTTCTCTTAAGGTCGTCAGTCCATCTCATCTGTGGTCTTCCTCTTTCTCTTTTCTTTTCCCATGGTCTCCAGTGTAAAATTCGCTTATTCCATCTTTCATCTTTTTGCCGGAGAGTGTGACCGGCGAAGTTCCATTTAAGTTTTGCAACCTGTCTTGATACATCGTTCACCTTTGTTTTTTCTCTGATCCATGAGTTTCTTTTCCTGTCTTTAAGACCGATACCCAGCATCTGTCTTTCCATTGCTCTTTGTGTTTTGGATATCCTGTCGATGTTCTCCTTTGTGAAAGTCCATGTTTTTGAGCCATATGTGATAACTGGTAAAATGCACTGATTGAATACTTTCGGTCGCATAGATTGAGGGAACTTTTTATTTTTTTAAATATATGATAGTTTACCAAATGAGGCCAATGCTAGTATAGTTCTTGTTTTTATTTCTTCTGTTTGATTGTCCCTGTTCAGCTTTATTATCTGTCCTAGGTATATGTATTCTGCTACCTGCTCTAATTTATTCTATTTGACTACTATTTCTAATTGGTCTTCTTGGTTTGTCATAGTCTTGGTTTTACTATAGTTCATCTCTAGACCTACCTCTGTCGCTTTTCTATCTAGTTCCTCAACCATCTTCTGTAACTCTTCCTTCTTATCTGTTATCAGGACTATATCGTCTGCATATCTCAAGTGGATACTGGAGCTTATGGTCGAAAAATGTAATATTGATTCTCAGCTGAGAAGGGAAATCTTAAAATAGGCACAACAAGAAGAAGAATGAGTGAGCCGGGTCCTTTTTAAAATTATTAATAATGTACGACCAAAAAAAAATAATTTTAGAGCATACCATTTTTTAATGTATTTTTTTGGGTACTATAAAATTGTTTGCGGCATTCTTCTTAAATATTTTATATAGAGTTATGTAACATATTTTCTACTTACAATTTTAAATGAAAAAACTTACCAGACATCACTTGGTAGTCTCTATTAAAATAATCTCCCCTTTGATTATCATTTTTTTTCAATATAATTGATTTTTGTATTTTGAAAATATGATCTATGTTTACAACACATGTTAGATTGGCACGGTCCTCTACAAAAGCAACTCTTTGGTTATAAAAAGAGGTAAACCGTTTTGGAACATTACTATTTTTTCTTCTTGCTTGAGAAGACCAGCTATAATCCTTAAAATATGTAAAACAAAAATATATTAAAAATATGTATATTCAAAAATCTTTAAATTTACAACAATGTTGTGTGTGTGTAGACAGTGGATGGCATTAGAACTTGTTGTGAACTTGTTAGAAATGTTAGAACATTTACATATTTCATTTACATATAATCAGAATATCGCAAAACTTGTTTTTTAGTATCCAAATGCTGTCTAGAAAATTACAGTTATTTGCAGAACTCGCTCTTTGCTTTGAATGTTTACCTGCAAAACCTAAATGTTTGCTCTACCACCAATGCAATTTGCCAGTTGGTTCACGTGACGAACACTTTATTATAACAGCTGTCTTGAAGTAACAAATTTTTAGAAGTTTATAATTATTCAAGCGATTAAGCAGTTGTATTTTAGCAAATTGGGAATATTATTTTAGTTTTTATGGAGTTAGTAAGTAAAGATGTTTGTTCTGTTAAACCAAGTCCTCAGGAAAAAGGACACAGAAAATTTTTAAGTCAGAAACCCATAAAAGGAATGTGGATAAACTTGCTAGGTAAGTGCTTCATAATAAAATTTATGATTTTAGACTTGTGCGATAATCGTTTAATTTTTTATTCAGTTTTTCGTGTTTTAACGTTGAGTAAGGCTACACAGAAAGTTTATCAAAAGAGTTGTATTGTGACAGAAATGCAACAAAAGCACTGCTGGCCTTTCCAACTTGCGGACTGCCGTATTATTATACTACACTCACTGTAAAGCAAGTGATAGATTTTCCTGCCTACCTTTATCAGTCAAAAGATAAAAGTAAACAAGACCTTCTGATATTGGCTTGCTGTAAGAAACAGAAACCGAAAAGAGGGAAATCTAATTATGCTGTAGTGTCTATAAAATACCATGTACGTTTGAGTAGAGGTAAGATGATTAGAGTATGTGCCAAGTCGTTTCTAGGAATCACAAATTTAAGCAAGGACCGCATACAAAGAATTGTAAGAAATTTTTTTATAACTGGGGAGCTATCCAGGGAACGTAAAGGTGGCAATAGAGTGGGTCTAAAAAATGATGAAAAAAGAAACTGCATCAAAAAATTTATAGAATCCGTAACATGTACAGGGTCTCATTACTGTAGAAGCAAGACAATCGTGAGGTTCTACTTGCCATGTGACTTGAATTTTAAGAATCTTTTCGACCAGTATCTTCGGAAAGTGCCTCAGCCTATGCATGTGAAGCTTAGTTACTTTAGAAAGTATATGAGTGTTAACTACAACATCGCTTTTGGAACTCCGCTGACTGACTGCTGCTCCACTTGCTTCAGAATAAAGGAGCAGTTGAAAGTAGCAACTTCTTTAGCTGCTTGACAAAAGTTAGTCACTGAGCATCGTGTTTATATCGTAAAAGCAAAGGCTTTTTTCAAACTCCTTAAAAATCCAAAACTTAACACAGCTTACTTTTCGTTCGACTGTCAGAAAAAACTTAGCACTCTCTAGACTGCTGATCAAGCAGCATATTTCAGCCAGCAAATAAACTATAATAATTGCACAATTGTTTGGAACTTCTACGAATAAATTAAGACTAACAAATGTGTTTTGTTACATGTGGACAGAAATTGAATCTCAAAAAGATTCTTATACAATAGCGTCAACTGTGCAACATGCTCTAAAGAATTTTGATTTTGATGTCAGCATAGAAACAGTACGTTTTTTCGCTGATGGTTGCGGCGGACAAAACAAAAATTCGAATATGACGGCAATGTTGGCTTATTGGCTTCTAGAAGAATTGCCGAATCATATTAAAAAAATGGAATTAATTTTTTCGATCGTCTGTCATTCCTTTATTTCGCCTGATCGTATCTTCAGCCTTATAGAAAAAGACATTAAAAAAGGCCTATTATTGTGAAAATTAGTGGCTACGACGATTTAATCAGAAAGCATTTCAATGTACGGAAAATCGGTATCGATTAGGACGTGCGTCCCTCTGTCTTAGACCAGTGATTCTCAACCTGTGGTCCGCGAACGGTTTTCATGTGGTCCGCGAAGTGAAGAGTCATAAAATAATCAATTTAAATCTTGGTTCTTGAGACGTAAATTAATGCGCCGGCCTATCTTTTTAACTCAAAACGTTTCCAGACGACCAAGCGCGCCTGGACACAGGTTCATTCACCTCAATCTTCCGCGTATTTTCCCTCACGCGCCAAATAGTTAGTTGCATTATATTCGTTTAGTTTCGGCCGCTGTCGTGTACGTACAGGACACTGCGACCACTGCGTTTTTGATCGCGGCGCCACTACTCAGTGACTCAGTGCTGACTCAACTGTCAAGTGACGAGCGTGCGTCTTTTTTGGCTTGGTGATTGTAGTTTACTAAAATGAGCAAACAGATGAAACTTTCGGGTTTTTCTAAGAAGACGGATAGTGAGAACGTTAAAGCAGGATGTTCTACTAGTAATATTGCCAGTGATAGCACAATATTAACTCAAACTGGTCCTAAAAGAAAGGCTGGTAACCGTAAGTACAATCCTGACTACATAGCATGTGTATTTACATTCATTGAAGAATTTGGTGTCCAGTTACTTCAATGTGTAATTTGTGCGGAGGTATTAAGTAATGAGGCAATGAAGCCGGCAAAATTAACTAGACACTTTGAAACAAAGCATAAAAATTTTGCCGGAAAACATGTAGATTTCTTTAAGAGGAAGGAGACGGAACTAAAATCGTCAAAAAATATCCTTAAGTCATACTCAACTTATGATAAAGCTACTTTGAAGGCGTCATATCAACTTTCACTTAGAATCGCAAAAACCAAAAAACCCTTTACCGTTGGTGAGGAATTAGTTTTACCATGTATCGTAGATGCAACTAAAGCAATTTTAGGTGATAAATACGCTAAACAAATGCAAAATATTCCTCTTTCCAATGACACCGTTAGTAGGAGAATTGAAGAAATGGCATCAGATGTTGAAACCCAACTTCTAAAGAAAATTCATTCCTCAAAGATTTTTGCTGTACAACTTGATGAATCTACAGATATTACCAATAAAGCTATTCTTCTTGTTTATATACGATTCATAGATAAAGACAACAAAAAATTATCTGACGAGTTCCTGACCTCGATTGAGTTGCAAGGTAACACAACCGGAAAAGACATTTTTAAAGCCATTGACAGATATTTCACAATTAAAAATCTTTCTTGGAAGGACTGTGTAGGACTTTGCTCTAATGGTGCCGCGGCAATGACAGGTCACAAAACAGGCTTGCCAAGTTTTGTAAGGAAATAAGGAAACCGTGATATTGTTTTAACACACTGTATTATTCATCGCGAAATGCTTGCTGCCAAAAGATTAAGTCCCGACCTAAACAAGGTTTTGACTACTGTGGTAAAGGCCGTGAACTTTATAAAAAGTAATGCTCTTAGTTCGAGATTGTTTGCTTTGTTATGCGAGGACATGGGATGCATCCATTCCAATCTCCTCCTACATACCAAAGTTAGGTGGCTGTCCAGGGGCCGGGTTTTAGCCAGATTTTATGAACTTCGAGAAGAAGTATGTATGTATCTTGAAAAAAAACCTGATTTAGCGAAAACACTGCGTGACGGAGAATTTATGGCCCAGTTAGCTTTTTTACCAGATATTTCTGAACAGCTCAACATATTGAATCTAGGCCTGCAGGGACCATCTAAAACCGCATTTGACCTTTGGAAAAAAATTGATTCATGTAAGAAAAATTGTTGCTATGGGAGTCCGAAGCTGGAAAAGGATCGTTTGAAATGTTCAACTTGTTTTCAGATTTTATCTCTAAAATAAAGGCTTAAATGAGGATGTTTTACATTCACTGGTTAAGTCCTACATTAAGTCGCTTCAAGATTACTTTGAAAAGTACTTCTCTGCTGGTACAGATGCGAGAAAAAATATTCTGTGGGTGATTGATCCCTTTTTAGCTACCCACAATAATAATCTGTCTATTCAGGAAAATGAACAGCTTATTGAAATTTCATCCGATAATCGTTTAAAAGTGATAAAATCTCACTGCAAAACTGTTGCAGATTTTTGGATAGGATTACTTGATAAAAGTCCACTGCTAAGTAAAAAAGCTCTGGAACTTCTTCTTCCTTTTCATTCCACTTATCTCTGTGAGGCATCATTCTCAACATTATATGTCATTAAGAATAAACACAGAAATAGGTTGCTAAATTTAAATGCTTCTATGAGACTGGCGTTAACTTCTTTCGATCCAAATATTGAGAAACTTTCAAGTGAGAAGCAAGACCAAGGGAGTCATTAACGTCTTAATTTGGCGCTATCTATGACTTTTTATTTTGTTTTTTATATACCTTTTGTCTTTCACTATGTATTTTCTTTTTTATTTTGTAAATAATAAATTCATTAGTAAAATTTCAGTGTTCATCTCATTTTACCTATTATTAGGAAATATTAATAATAATATCTAAGTGGTCCGCCAAGAGTTCTGAAAGGTACAAGTGGTCCTCAGTGATGAAAAGGTTGAGAACCACTGCTTAGACCATTAATGTCAAAGAACGTACAGTTTTCTCCTTCAATTCTAACGCATGAGCTTACGTTTTGTATTGTTAGTTGGGTCAACTTAACTAACCTAGGTGGGATTCCAAAGTCTATCATTGCATTATATAATTCAGTTCTTTTCACGCTGTTATAGGCTACTTAGAAGTCGACGAAGAGATGGTGTGTATCTATGTTATATTCTAGTGATTTTTCTAGAATCTGCCTCTAGAATGTTGAATTTGATGTGAAGTTGACTTTCCAGCAGTTAATCCGCATTGACATCTATTGACTAAAAATATCCTTTGTAAAATGTTTAAATTGTTTAAATAATACATTGTCTAATATTTTATACGCAGATGCTAACAGAGTAATGTTAGTAATAAGTTTAATATATAAGTACTATAAGTTTATGGATTGCTGCAAAAGGTTGATTTTTTGGTGACCTTTTTTATACATTTCCGAACAAATTTCATGAATTCCTGGGATAGTGATCACTATCTATGTTCCTTC